TGAAAAACCGACGACACAAGGAAAAAATCTACATTCGCGGCAAATAAAAACAGCAATTTTTTTTTTATAAATTTCTTCCCTCTTTCAGAATATGCGAAAATCCATTTTTATTACTATTTTCGTATTTACATTACAATGACTAAAATATCGTACGCTTTTAAAAATTCAACCCAATTTAAGCTATGCCTGTTAATCCTTCATAACAGATGTGAGTTTGCCAAACAGTCATTTTTGCCAATCAATAATCCTATAATCCAATGAAATACTGCCACACTGGCTCAATGCAAACCACTAAATTTTCACAGTTTTATTGTTCAAAGGATTCATAGCATCAGATCTATCGAGAAAACTCGAAAACTTAGACGAAGGATTTTTTTACATAATAATATGTATATTATCAATCGTATTTTACGTTTAATACGGCAGTAAGTACATTTCTACGTCAAGAATAAAAACAAACCATGCATGTACTACTTGATCGCTGTTATATGGCTACTAACCACTATATATATAAGAAAAAGGTTTAATTGGCTTCACTAAGCAAACTAAAATGACACGATATTAGTTTTGAAACTAGGAAACCGAAGACAAACAAAATAAAGATACCGAAGCAGGAAAATATTTGATGCTTAACTCCTCAATCGCGTAACTCTGTTTTCACGGAGAAGTAATAAGAAAGTTTCTTACTAACTCAGGAATTTCCTTATAATTACTTTGCGTAAGGTAAAGAAAATACATAAAAATACTTCTAGTTATTATATAAAGTTTCACTACTGGGTTGAAGGTCTGATTTCCTGGTGATCTAAATGTGGAACCTGATATCGGTGCAAGAAAATGATTTTAAATGAGATTCAGTAGCAAACGAGTTATCAATTGGCGCCAATACTCTAGGCAATAATACCAGTGAAGTTGCAAGTACGTTGCCGGCCTTTTGGGGTTCGGGATTTTGGGACGATTGATGGATTTGGATATTAGGGATCAGGGATTAAAGGATTGGGCTTTTGGTAAACCCAAAACACAACGTTAAGTTGTTCCACACCGGGTTTTTGTCATTCCGGTCGCGCTGGCCTATTTTGGAAAAAGCAAAGTCCTTACACACTCGGAGATTAGATTATTTAGGCTTTTAAACTTTTTAACATTTTTTAATAATACTATCGAATTTCGTCTGAAATATATTGTTTTAGTGATTGCCTATAGGTAGCCTCTTATCACATGGGAGTCGTAATATTTCTTGAGACTAAACCGACCGACATTGCTTGCTCGAGCAACAAAAAAACCTGATACAATGTGTAAGTATGCCAATAATATACAAAATGAAAACAAGGTATTAAATAATAAATATTGTTTTTATCTCTTATGGAATTAAAAGAAATACAGTTATGTAATTTAAGGAAAAATAATGTTATTTATTCCGAGTTTCATTCTGACCTCGAATAAAAAAACTTTCTATTGACGTTTGAAATGAGCTAAAGTGGTTTCCTTTTGATTTGTCTTGGCTTTCTTTTGACTACCTTGGTGAGTTGAGTGGCTTTGGCTGCTTTGTTGAACAAAAGGTGTTGTATTCCCTTAGTTGAGGACAATTTATAAGGAGCAAATTGAACATACAAAGTCTAATTGGGGCCTGGAGTTTGAGCGTTGTTTTTTTAATGATTAATACTATTGCTTTACATACATATTATATATTTCCTCGCCCGTTTCCTATTAGCAAGGGCAATGGAACGCCAAATGACGCGTCTCTGAAATACTTCTTGTAGTTCTTCTACATTGATTAACCATTTCTACATTACAAACTTACAAAATTTACCTCTTATAATATTAGTATAGATATACATATATATTGGTAAAACAACTGACTGGTCGGAAACATAACGTTGATCCACTGCCACAGATAATAAGAGTACAAAAAGTAATCGGGTTACCTCATTTCTCCTTAAGTAAAGAAAGACAAATTTTAAAACAGAAAAATCTGTTGATACCAACCAATTAATGTCACACCGGATTATTCAGCTAAAATAAGATAATGTAAAATTAACGAAAATTCCTCTGAAATAAATTTAATTAATACAATATTAAATTAAATCTTTCATTTACTTTACTTTGACAACTTTGAATAATCATTAATGAAATGGTATTTTGAATTTTCACTTCTATTTAATGAACAGATTAAATTTAAATTTTGTGTTTTTAATGCAAATTAAAATTAACAGTTTTAAATTTCGTACGTAGCTAAGTTACAGTAGGTTTTAATCACTAAATAACCTGTAGATTTATTTACTAGAAAAATAATTTTGATTGGCGGTATTCGAAGGGCGAAAAAAGAAATTCTTTCAAAAATGTGTTAAAACTACACTATTTGAATCGTTTTTAGAGGTTGCCAAACTCACGAGGCAGTCTGCTGGCAGGTTTTAATACTTATTTATTTAATAAATGGTGAATCAACAGGTACATTATATAGGCAAAGATGACTGGTAGAGAATGCTCAATGCATTAAGTCCGCCTAATATATGTACATGTCAAATTGAGCATGAATTATAAAATAAATAAAAAACTTGCTAATATCAAATTAATTGATTAAAAATCCCTATTTTATATAACAACTAATATACACACAGCCTTGTTTTTCGGCAATTAATAAAATAACATAATACGTCAATTCAATATTATCATCATATATAATTATGTATATCGATTTGCTCATTATAAAATATAAAAAACGCACAGTCTACCAAGTTCGCACAAAAGTTTAATACTAGCTACTCTCGCGCTTTCACTCGCTACTTGGCTCCTACAGATCGTAGTGTGATGTTTTATAGCCTATAGTCTTCCTAGATAAATGGACAAACGTTAAAACAATAATGGTTCAATTCAAACCAGTAGTTTCAAAGATAAGCGCGTTCAAACAATCAAACATACTCTTCAGTTTTATAATATTAGTTTAGATTTTTCTAGAACAGAAACAAAATCCCATACAGTAAAAGTACAGTAACAGTAAAATAAATACGTTTTATTTATAGCACGTTGAGCGTTGAGCAAAGCTATCTCAGCTGTATTGAAATAGCACTTCAGGGTTCTGTAAATATTGGGAACTCGACACTTAACCCAAATGTTAACGTACAATGGAAATAAATGTTGACAACCCTATTTTGTGTGGGAAACTTTTAAGCATGCTGCAGGTTTCCTTTTGGTGTTGTTTTAAACTTATAGCTTTCCTTTGAATTGGTTCAATTTCAACAAGTAATATGTAATAAAGTATATTTATGTAAATTGGTTCTTTGATTACTAGGCAAATCCATTACTATTTTTTAAAATTGACTTTATTATTTTGACTGCACGGTTGGTGCGGTGGCTGGGCAACTGGCTGACGTGCAACGTGTCGCGGGTTCGATTACCGCACGGAACAACTCTTTGTGTGATCCACAAATTGTTGTTCCGGGTCTGGGTGTCATGTGCATGTGAAATTGTATGTTTGTAAATGCAACCACGACACAGGAGAAAATTCTAGTGTGAGGCAACGTTTTTTTTTTTTAAATCTCATTTTTATTTATTTTTGTCAGTTTTGTTCGATGATGATGTGTCTTGTTACGTGTGTATATTTTGCGTAAAAAATGTTAAGTATTATACGAGTATATGAATCAATAAATACTTATTAAACGTTAAATAATTTATAATAAAAATATTAATATTTTAAAGCGCTAGAGTTTCTTTGTTTGTTTGAGCGCGCTAATCTCCAGAACTACTGGTTCGAATTGAACAAATATCGTTTGTTTCGTAGCCCATTTATCGAGGAATGTTTTGGCTATAGAACATCAAGCTTTATTCTGTAAGAGCCGAGCAGCAGGTGAAATTGCGCGGGCGTTGCTGGTAAAAAATAAATATCAATCTCCCTTTAACTTGTTTGATATATTTGTTCCCGAACTATGGACTCAAGCAGAAAAATAAAGGTACTAAAAATAGGATTGTGGGTGGAATAAAACCTTATAACATTGCGATAAAAGTATAAATAACACAATACACCCACACTGTCATAAGTTGCACCTAATAAGGGATCCTGGAGCATTTATCCGATCACCACAAATCAGGATTCTTTCGTGGGAACGAGAAAATTTACTAACTTAATAATACACTGCCAAACTTCAAAAGTAATCAGTAAGATTTGGAGTAGAATAAATTTCCTAAAAAACAACGTAACTTTTGGAGTTGGGGTAAAAGAATTCGTTGGAATTTATCGTAAGTAATGACACGGCAACGTAAGGTGCTATGAATAGACAATGTGATTTATGTTTTAATTAGCTAGCATGCTTGTTTTGTTTCCAATTTAAAATGCCTTATTATTTCAATTTCGTCTACTTTTTATTTTTTCTAAAGTTTCAAGCAAAGATGTTTTTATTTCCCAAACAATAATATCGTACCCATAAAGTAACTGTTAAGACGTTTTGGCAAAGACATATTCACACATCCAGAAGAAACCAAATAGTTTTTTTTGTCAGTGAAAATCATCAAATTACTTCTCCCGCCCTAGGGTCAGACAAGAGAGAGTGTCAGACTCTTACTGATTAAAAACGCCCCATTCCTTCTCCTGCTCTGGGCCGAGGCCGCGGTTACTTATTGCGCTTATCCCGCAACCCCGGCTGAAATATAGTTTACGCTTTGAGATGCTTCTAAGTGTGCAGCATATATTTTTATTTTATTTAAATGATCATCACCTTAAATAATTCTATAAAGGGCAGTCGTGACCCATTTATCTTGAAGTATGTAGTATAATCTCCAAATTTTTTATTTAAATAAATCATGATTGTTGTAAACAACTTCATTTTTTCAGTTATAGTGTTAATATTGTAATTATTGTCTATAATAGAGTGTTAGAGAAGACTCAGTATGGATTGTTCGCTTAAGATATTGAGTGATTAAAACGCGACGAGGCGATGACGTCACAAAGGACACTGGTGTTCGCTGGAGAATAAGTTACACTTACAGTAACAAAATATCAAAAATCTACTTACATGTCATCTTCAGGAAGGTTCAAGGTTATAGAACCCTTGACATTGTCTCCATACTGAAGGTAGCCAAAGAATCCAACGAAGCCGTATAGAGAGATGACGATGACCATAGCCACGTTCAGTACTCCAGGACAGCCGAGGAACTGTTGAGGTTTCGCCATCTCGTTCTCAACTGGCATCACCACACCAATACCTTCCATTGCGAATATGACGGTGCTGGAAAGAGATGGAAGACATTTGTTATATTATCAAATTTAAGCAGGACATTTGGAGAGAAAAATATCTGTCTGATATCCGTATTGAATTTTCAGTCTTAAAGCTACCAGAATAGTGATAATTACGGGTTAAAACTTTCGTGAGACATATTCATTAAGTATTATGTTGCGACAAACGCCGAACAGAGCGTCTCGCAAAGCCGCTCCTGAATATGAGCTGCTAGAGTGGATTGAAACTAGTCGACTTCCTCGTCAAACAGTTACGTGAGTAGGTATTTAAATACAAAAAATATTTTAAAAATAGTAATCAAAGAGTAATCGTGTTCGCATTGGTTGTTTACTTTCTTCAATTACCTGCTCTAACAATAATGATATGACTCTCAATTTGTCACAACTCTCAAAAGTATTTTACAAATTGTGGTAAAATTTTCTTGTAACAATGTAGTTTAAAAGGATGAGCAATGAAATGTCGACATTAGTTCGTAATCTGCCATCTACCCATCAACTATCTCTAAACATATTGCAACAAAGAAAATCGTACCACAATGTTGTCTAAACCAGGTAGGGATAGAATTGCGATTCAGGTGAACGGTGCAATACGCCCTTAAAATGTTTTACTAAGTTCATCCTGTACCCTGCATAAAACATGAGGATTTGAGTGAGGAAGCAAAAGTAGTGTATGGATCCTGGCACTTGGCCAATCCAATTTAGAGTTCTATTTTGAGTTGGGAAAGAAGGATTTTTGCTTGGCAATGTTCACTCGCAGAATTTGATAGGCAATATGAAGGTTTTGAAAGAACTTTGTAAGGTAGTATAGGATATAGAATCAAGCATATCTTACAGTTTAAATTAGGTATAGAAATTGCATGCTTTGCATAATTACGTTATTACATTGTAATAATCCTCGAACCATCAGTCTACCTTTTTGTACTTTTATTAGTATGCACATTCAGAGCCTGTCATTTAAAAACAGTGTCAAAATATTATTATTTACTAACTCATACACGCGGCGTCGCCCCCGTCACTTCCTACCCTACTCTATCTACCCTACCCTAATATGCCTACTCTACTCTACCTACCCTACTCTATCTACCCTACCCTAATATGCCTACTCTACTCTACCTTCCCTACTCTATCTACCCTACCCTAATATGCCTACTCTACTCTACCTACCCTACTCTATCTACCCTATCCACCTACCTTACTATACCTGCCCTACTCTACCTAACCTACTCTACCTACCCAACTCTACCTACCCTACTCTACCTACCCTACTCTACCTACCCTACACTACACACCCTACTCTTTCTACGCATCCTATATCCTTCTCCCAGTTCTTAGCTACCTCCTTTCGAATTTTCAGCCAAATCGGTTCAGCCGCTATTTAGTTATAAGTGGTGTAACTAACACGTCTTTCTTTTATATATAGGTATATAGATTTTATTGTCTGTAAAGGTAAATTGTAGTATATTAATCGTATTAAAATAGAAACAAACTAAAAAGAGTCTCTATTAATATATAACTTAAAGATATAATTATCAGTTTCTTTTTTAATATTATTAATCAGTCATCAACTAAGAACAATGGCTGTGGACGTAGCTCAGATGATGAGGTAATTTTTTTTTCAACAATAATTTTATAAATACAACCAAAAGAACCTATATTATTTTAACACAGAGATTAAATAATTATATATTGACAAATTTTTCACAAAGTTTGCTTTGTAATAAGCCACTGGTGTCTAAATATATTTGGAGAGTACGTATTACTTAGAAAAAGGCACATTGGTCATTGTCAGGTTTCGAACCCACGTCCTTGTGCATGACTAGCGGACTATTCAACCTCCTGGCCACAATTGAAACATCAAAACGGCCCTCATCCTTTAATAAAAATGTCTTTGTATTATTTCAGACTACGCTTTCTTTCTTCTGGTCTGTCAAAATACATTGTTGCAGCTTACATGTATCTCAAAACCATTAAAAAGCAACCGACTGTGGGCTGTGTAGACTGCGTGACCGCTTATCATCAATAGGAGTCAAATTTTGACTTGAAACAAGTAGGGCCTTTCTCAGTTAATAATATGAGTATTTTTTATTTTTAAAGCTTTTAGTTAGTAGTTAGCAACGCAAGTATCTCATCAATAGCTATCTATCGCATCAACTTATGATTGCATGTCGAAATTGAATTACTATATTATTATAAATCAAGTTTACACATTCATAGTCATCCTAATAATATAACAATCATAATTAAAAAAAAAACTAGTTACTACTATATTACACGTAAAAAATATCAAACAGATCTGAATTAAATTTGACGCAAAGATACCTAAGTCGTAGTCGGGTACGTTTTAACTCCAATACAGCAGGTCACGCCGCTAGCAGAAACTAAGTATAGTAAAATTATAGCCATAATATGATCAATACCTTGTCGTAAAGAACTTTGATTAGTACCTATCCCGGAGCCCGCATCACTAGATTTGCCTTGACAATAAGGAAGTATCTGATTGAATCTGCGGGTGACCTACCCTTGCCCCCCAAAACTTTCCATTACCAACAGAAAACTTTTACCTACTTATTATTAGTTCCAAACCCAAACGAGAAGCAGTTCTATATCACAACGATAAAGTTATAATTCTTTTCGTAGATAACTTGTGATCGGTGGCCACTACAAAGTATAGGGAGTTTATTTATGATCTTACTAATATTTTCTTAGAAAATAAAAGTTTCTTTGAATTGCTTTTTGTAAATTACATTTCTTATACTTTATATATTTCTTATGGGGTAAGTAAGTAGATACTATAGATAGATCTACAACGTTTGTGTTCAAACTTTTTATGAACCCAGATACGAAATCCCTGTGAATTGTTATTTTGATAAAAACGTTTTCCATTTATTTTTATGATTCAAACAGTCCATAATAATTATTTTCTCACATATTATATTTTTTTTTTTTGTCTTCCGTCTTTCATTTCACTTTCCAGTTTCTTTTGCCCACTTCAAAAATGCATTGGACTATCTGCTAGTTACTAAAAGACTTTAGAGTCTATGAAAATATGTATTAATTACAGGTAAATAATTCTTAACGATATTTAAGCGTTTTAGAAGTGCTTGTATACATAACACATGTGTTCAAATTAAACTGGCTAAACATCGGTTGTAGGGAGGGACAAAGAGTAAAGTTCCATAAGATCAGAAAAGGAGGATCTACCGGCCAGGCGAGGTGATATGCCTGGCTAAGCCAGCTACTAGGTTGGGATTTTCTACCCGTGAAAACTTCACATGCGTGATGTTTAATGTAGGACTTGAGATGCAATCTGCAAAATATTACTATGTGCGTCGCCATAGATTTAATAAAAAAATCATCAAAATTGGTTTATAATTTACGAAGTTCTCCGCGTACAAACATTCATTTTCACTGTCTACAAAATAAACACAATAGCCGCGAGTCATATGTGATTCCTCAGACAGGGGAGTGATTAAAAAAACATCAAACATTATGATCGAATTAAGAAACCTCAACTTTCTTTTTGAAAACTGTTAAAACATGGATAAATATTTCTCGAGATAAACTATTAAGCTTCATAACTATAGTAGCTGCTTTAAAAGTTAAAGTAATTCCATTTGCATAAATTCAATTCTTTGAATTCGCCATAAATATAAATTAATCCAGCTTTATTAACCAAAGTGCAACCTGCTACGTAAATAATTCATTAAAAATTTTAATGAAAATTCTTATTATTCGTAGCCTTAGTATTGTTTGATTGAAACAATGCGATTCTCAATTTTAGCTTTTCAATTCTAAAATTCCTTTTCAATGTACCTAAATATTAAATGGTTTTTTCATAGATACTTAATGTTTAATAGGCATTAAGTTATGTGTGGGTTATATTTGAATGCTATTTATTGATGAAATTAATTTGATAAATACTGAGTGAATTTACACAAGTATTTTATAAACGTATTATTTTCGCTAAACCCCTCTCTCATTAAGAAAACTAATATACCTATATTACTATAATCAATGCTGTACAATATTTAAATGCGACTACTAGCACTAACGGAATAATAACATAGCATCACAGAAAACTGACGTGAAACAAACACAGTGTTGTGTTTCGTCATGTGAGTGAGGTTACCATCAAGTGATGATCTTTTGCCGTCGCATCGCATAAGTAATATTTTTTTAAAGCATATGATAATTTTCACGTCTGATTATCGATATATGTAAGTTGTTAGTTTTTGCATTCTGATATTAGTTGCGAACAAGTGAAGATTGCACGGACTGGAAAATTGCAATCTCTTGAGTAGTTGTAGTGAGCCGAAAAACTCCAGATCTTGCTGCTTGCAAAATCAACCGACACATCGTTGTCGTTAATATGGTACCTATTGAAACACCCTCATATAAGTATCCGATTTTAAGCGGCAGAAAATGTATACAAATTATTTTATTTGGAAGATAGTGGCTCTCTAGACGTTGTAGAGCAGAGTCTAAGTAAACATATTAACAGTCACCGTTAAAACATAATATACATTTATTATATAAGTCGATATGGGTACATAAGTACCTAGTTATTTCTTTCCAAATATTGTCACAGATGGGCGACATTGTATGCTTAATATTTTTGATATGTATTTTTTGATGATTGTATATGTATAATAATGTATTAAAGTTTAAAAAAACCTGGGTAAATATTCAATCGGCTTCTTACCTATTTACTTACCTATCTTAACAGCAATTTTTAGGCAAGGAAGATGGAAAAATCATAGTGCATAAGGTATAATTAAAATTTTTCATGTGTTTCGTAGTTATTATTCATTAAAATAGTATGTTTAACGATAGTTACTTTTCACGTAATTGTTGGACAAGTTTCAGTTGTCTGCGCTTCCGTGGGTCTGAACTACGTTCGCGTCGTGATGCATCGCGCAGTGCTACTCATGAATATAAGCTCCTAGCGTGGCTTCAAACTAGTCAAAGAGTTACGTGAGTACGAGATTTAACATTAATTGTACATGACTTCCAGAACAGCTGATCGGCAGCAAAATTAACCCTCTCTATTTAACAGACCATATTTATATAGTGGTGAAGAAGTTATTGCTAATCGTCTTAACTAGGGTCAATGAAAATTTGAGTTCAAACTTACCTTAAGAACAAAGGCCACTGGGTAATACTGGCAACCATTTCCCTCTCTTTAGGAGATGGCAGGTCCAAGAAAACGTAGTAAATGGTGATCACGAACACAACCAAAATCAGAAGGTTGGCAAGGGCAGAAAATGGCACCAGGTACTTCAGATTTCTTATTTGGCAGATTAATACTAATGGCACTAGAGTGAGTGCACAGGCTGCTTGTATTGACAGCGGGTTGTCTGGCATGTAGACGTCTAGGATCTGAAAAGAAGGAGTTAAATAAGATATGATGGTAGGACTGTCTTCACGTATTGTGTTGAAGGTTGGAGGATCAGTTGATATGTTTATTTTTTGCGATTGCGCAAAATTAAGATGATAAAGTGAAACTTGACTCATAGAATTAAAAGTAGCGCAAGAAAGGCGACCATCTGCCATGTAACGAGTCGTAGAATTGATTTAACCGCACCTACGATACAGGACAAAAATGTAATTCGGTAAAACGGTTAATAAAACATGAAAATTATATCAGCTACACAAACCTCACTACAAATAAATTAATATCTACTACAGATTGACAAAACCATCAACAAAACAATAAAAAAATCCGCACTAGTTAAAATATCCTTTTTTTGTTTCTTGCGTTCATAAACAAACTTCCATTCAGACACCTTGGTACTACCAGTCTCAACTCATAAAAAATACTTCTACTAATTGAATATATTAAAAAAATAGCTACCTTTTTAAAATTCTGTACATCGACTTTTTATAAAATTTTTACACTGCCTGTATACACATTTAGTTTAAAAGCTTATTGCACAAATTAATTTTAGAAGATGAAATATTAAATCTCTTTTGTGAGAATGAATGCACAATAGTAAATAATGACGTCGTTAACTACATAAAGTCATGAGTGCAAGTGAGATAGAGATATATTTTCAACACTCCTGTTTAGAGCTTGTATAAATGATTAATTTACTTCTCATTTTAAAGCCAATTTAGATGCTATTTTCGTTAAAAGATTTATTTATGGCTGTTGTGGAATTAATTTACTTATGGCTAATTTTTCGATGGTTTGATAAAAGTTACATGGGGAATAATTATGATACTGTCATATCAGAATCCAAACTAATATTATAAATGCGAAAGTAACTCTGTCTGTCTGTCTTTTCTTCACGCCTAAACTACTGTACCTGTTTGTGTGAAATTTGGTACAGACATAGTTTGGAAGTCGAGAAAGGACATAGGATAGTTTTTAAATTAAAAATCTGCAGGAAGTCACTATTCCACGCAAACAAAGTCGCGGGCAAAAGCTAGTGTTTGCATAAGACAGTGACAGCAACAATTGTATTCCTCAGATAGAAGACTATCAGATGGAAGAAGACTTCTCATTGTTTGTTTTAATTTAGGAAGGTGCTTTCATAAGTGTTGATATTTGGTTGCTGTTTAAGCTTACGCAGTATTATTTACAGCCTTCATTATTTTAATTGTGATTCAATTTAGAATGCTGAAATATAGTAATTGTTATCATTTTCATATATTATGTAGAGCTATATTAACTTATACTTAGATATTAAGTGTGGGAGAGCCATACTTTAGCTCATATTCAGGTCAGCTCGACCGGAGTGATCACGGCCTCACAGAAAACCGACGTGAAACAACCACAGTGTTGTGTTTCGCCGTGTTAATTAGGTTACCGGAGGCCCAGTCCTTCCTCTCTCCCAACCCCTAAATCTCCAAATCCTTTATCCCCAGCAGGTCGACAACGCACTCCTAACTCCTCTGTTGTTACGGGTATCCATGGGCGGCGCTGATCGCTTACCATCAGGTAATCCGTCTGCTAGTTTACCGAATGCTGAGCTATCATATAAAAAAAAATTGGATAAACATTTCTACGTAAGTTTAGTGTATTAAATATTTCAGTAAGGTGGTATACAAAATGCTCAATGCATATTCCACGCTATCACAATTATCGCGACCCGATTAAGGCTACCCTTAACAATGTGTTAAATCGATTTTGAACTTTATTTCAATATAATTTGCTTATAACGATACCTCAAAATTAAATGCACGTCATAAACATATATAAAAAAACTAACAAATACATGAATCCTACAACGCCCTCTCCTTTGAGTAGCCATCATCACATCTCATAGATTTATTAGCCGGTATTCAACGAAGTGGAAAAAAACTGAAGTACCTACGAATATTTTATTCAGTACAATAATTTAGTAAAACAACCCCTACATTAACAATTAATTACAAATACAAAGTTTAGTCTCAATATGTGCTACCACAAACTTAAATATTAAATCCTTCTGTCTCCTTAACCCATCAAATAAAACCCTTAACGCCATCCACTAAAGTCGAAATTTGTCTAAAACAAAACATTCCTACTTTTGGGAACATCTAAACCGGATTCTTGTGGTTCTGAGCACTTTCATATAACTCCGAATTTTCCTTATTAACTCACACGAGAATTTGAAGTTGTTGATTTTAAACCGTAAGTTTAATGGTAGAAGGTTTGAATTTGAACATGTTTGTTGTGTAACAAAGGTTGTCGTCTAAATAAAGGGAACTTGTTCAAGTTTTGATATAGTTGTGAAGCAAGTCATTAACAAATTAGTAAAGTAAATGGAATTGTTGGTTACAGCTGTTTGTATTATGAGTTTAATCGCAAAGGAAACCCGCTAAACAGGCCTTCTTTTGTTTTGTTATGACGCTGTTGACTTTTGGTTACCTATAGGTAGTAAGAATTTCTTGTGTTTTAATTGTTTGAAATACAATTTTTCTACTACCTAGATTGGTGACTGATTGACTGGTTAACTGTCTCGTTGCGGATTTGATTCCCGCACGGAACGATGCTTATTTTGATACACAATTCTTGTGTGTAAATCACTGCATGGTTGGTGCAGTGCTGGCTGCCGTGCAACGTCTCACGGGTTTAATTCTAGCACGGAACTACTCTTTGTGTGATTTAAAAATTGCTGTTCCGAGTCTGAGTGACATGTGTATGTGAATTTGTATGTTTGTAACCAATTAATAAGTAATTCCAGCATTCACGGCACAGGAGAAAATCTAATTCAAAAAGAAGATCTAATTCCTATGGGAACATTCGAAAATAGTTTTTGTGTTAGAGTATTAGAAGATTATTCAGTTAGTAGGAATTAAAAATAAGCGGAAAGAAACACGGCGTGAAACATCTACAGCGTTGTGTTTCGCCGTGTGAGTGTGGTTACTGGAGGCCCAATCCTTCCCCTTCCACCGTCATCGCTCAATCCTTAGATACCCAAAATTCTAATCCTTAAAAGGCCGGCAACGCATCAGACAATCAGTCAGCTTATCTCATAAAATGAGGATGTCAGACTTTTACTTTCATAAAGCCACAGCGTTCCTTTTCCTGTGCCAAACATTATTGACCCCGCAACTACGGGGTCACACAGGCTGAAGATGAAGTGTCAAATCCTGATCCTCATATTTAAACATTATAAATGAGCAATGAGATATTCATTGGCAAATAAATTACTTTGAAATTACATCGTGATTATATTAATACGAAATTTTCTTTGGAAACACGGATAAATAAATTGGCTAAGATATAAAAAATCTTGACGATTTAATGAAGTAATCCAGCCAAACGATGTGACGCCGACAGATTCTCGATTGGTTTCTTTGAAGTATTGTATGACAGCAATTTTATTTATTCAAAATTAGATTTTAAGGTATCGAAATAAAATACTAAATTGATTTTTTTGTGATTCGGTTAGTATTGAACTTAGCACCTTGTTGATTGGTTGTGTATAGCTATTATAAAAGTTGTAGGCGCTATTTTGGTTCTCAGGCTGTTAAGGATAAATCTTAAAATAACTATATTGGTATTTATGAAAGACAAAATCAATACAAGAAAGGGTAGCTGGTTGCTAGATGACCACATTATACAATCTGACGCCTAATTTTAGTCAGTTAGGTACGTAATTATCCCTCATAGATCGAAAAAATCTGGTCGATCATGAATTAAAAAAAGTTAATAAGGTTAATAGCAGAATGATGTCTGATTTTATTACTTTATATTTTATAAGAATGTTATAATATAATTATGTAAATAAAATTAAATGTGAAATAAACTTACTTCTTTCATTGAAGATCCAATAAAGACCACGTAGACGCACAACACGCTGAAATATGTGATACACATCGAGTAGTCCACCAGTTCTCTGAAAAATCAAGTACGTTTTAAGTGTGGGAGAGCCATGCTTCGGCACTAATGGGTCGGCTCGACCGGAGTGATACCACGGCCTCACAGAAAACCGGCGTGAAATAACCACTGCGTTGTGTTTCGCCGTGTGAGTGAGGTTACCGGAGGCACAATCCTTCCCCTTCCCCAATACCTAAATCTCCAAATCCCTAATCCCTAAAAGGTCGGCAACGCACTCGTAACTCCTCCGTTGCGAGTGTCCATGGGCGGCGCTGATTGCTTACCATCAGGTAATCCGTCTGCTCGTTTGACGACCTATTACATAAAAAAAAAAAAAAAACGTTGTGTTTTTAATAATAATGTTTTGTCTCGAAATATCGTCTTTTTGCGTTTATTTCTCTACCTATACAAGTTCAACGACCTTTTGTCAATTTCATTATTTATGTAAGATGGAATCTCATTTCTAAAATTAGCTTGCATTTATATGTATAGGGGTAAAGGAAAACGTCGTATTCATATTTGGTCCTACTAATGTCAGTTGGTAAAGTAACATTCATTTGATAGAAGGGGGGAGGGGGGGAGGACACCTTTCCCAAATCGCACGCCAATCATAGCACCGAACATCGTAAGCGTGTCGTGTCGATTTGCACTTGGCTCTCTGGTGGTGAGCGTTCAGGGGACCCTAAGGTAACCCTCATGCAACACCTCTATTTTATTTCCATTCTTCATCGGCCTATAAGTGATCACTGCTAATCAAAAAACCTCTTCTCGCACGGAGAAGATTGATCAAGGCGGATTCGAGACTTTAAACTTATAATTAGATATTACAAGTCCAGGTTTTCTCACGATGTTTTCCTTCGCCGTTTGTCAGTAAAGACTAAATGCACTTTGAAAGTTTGTAAAACACAGAGAAGAAAACGTCAGATAGGACTTTACTTTCTTTCACGCTTCACTTCAATTCTCACTTTTCGGTTTCAAGCACGGAGATTGTAATAAATACTTATCTATCTTAGGACTCACATCAACTAGACTGATACCCAGTAAAATGCATGGGTTGTGTATCGACATACGAGTGAAGTTACCAAAGGTAAAAAAAGCACTGACCCTTCCATCCCAAATAACCCATAATTCTTAAATCTGTAATTCTAAAAAACCAGCAACGTAGTCGTAGCCCTATTGGTGTTCCGGGAATCTATAGGCTGCGATGATTGCTTACCATCAGGAGATCCATCTGACGCCCAATTAAAATCTCTAATTTAACTGTTACATGCGCATAGTTATGAATAATTTATAAGCCCTAACATGTTAGCTTTGACGGTATAACAATAATAATTAATTAAGGCTAATAGCTAGTCAAAGGCTTTAAAACCTTTGACTAACTAAACTATGAAGACTACAACAATAACTATTTTGCCTTCAAAGATTGATACTAACAAGATCTTGTTGTACCCTAAATGTCTTAAGGTACATGTTTTGAACATTTCTATTTAAATTCTGATTTAATTACGTTAGACTTCTAGACAATTACTGGTTCAAGATTTTGTAGCTCTTAAGATAAGCCAAGTCAACAACGCAATTTAAACTTCTATAAGTTTGTAGTACTTACACCTACTATTCCATTCAAATTAGGCTCAGTGTCTAGGTTCAATGTACGATTTCGCCGAGGTATTATCTACTGTCAGGTTCATAAGGAGATGGGGGGATGACCTTGCGCCTGTGTCAAGGATTGGTCGCAGAAAACTTTGCGGAGAGAGTTGTGGAAGGACGGATTTTTTAAGTGGGAAATCATCCTATTAGTCTGGCCGTGGGTGACAACACGGAGTGTCAGACTCTTACTGATTGATGATCATCCCATTTTTTCTTCTGCTTCGTCCATTTAATTGCGCTTACACCCACAATCTTGGAGTGTAAGGAGGGTAAGAAGACCTTCTTCCAGCAGTAGATCGATCAAAAAATCCTTAGCTTTTATGAGGATGTGAAATCATGAACAATTCACGAGAGTCCAGCAGAATTTTGAGTATCCTCTACAAAAGAACAGCGATTCTACAAAAGACTGACAATGCGATTTCTAATTTGCTTGGCAAGCGGATTGGAAATCGAAGTTTAAATGTGTAATAAAACTGCGCTGTTCAGGTTTCAAACTGAACAGAACTTTTAAATTTGAATTCTGACACATACGCGGAATTCAATCAGAGTTAAGTACCTATTAATATGTCATATTATGCACTTTCTAAGTTCATGGTACTTAGACACCGTAAAACATCCATAGACATCGTCAGGAAATCTGGACTTGAAATTCTAATTATAAGATTATAGCCCCCCCACATTGAGCCAGCGTGGTGATTAATGCTCAAACCTTATTCATGTGAAAATAGGCCTTTGCTCAGTAGTGGACACGTATCGGCTGATATTTATATGTATGGTAAAAATTAAATAATAACTTGGCTTACTTTATAAAATTGCCCCATCTTTGTAATCTTTTTGGTCCATATGTAAATGCAGCTCCACAGGTTTCGGCGAAACTAAGCGATGGCTTCTTCGCGTCTACACAAACTTCTTGAGAGGTCCTTACCTGAAATATAAAAAAATATTATTATACCCATCTCATCCCATGTCGTGGTGGCCCGGAGGTTAAGGAGCCCGCTTCTCATGCATAAGGGTGTGAGTTCAAAACCTGGCAAGTACCAATGTAACTTTTTCCGAGTTATATGTCCTTTCTATGATTATTTAGACACTACTGACATACGGTGAAGGTAAACATCGTGAGGAAACCTGGACTTATAATTTCTAATTATAAGTTTGAAAACGTGGTGATTAATGCTCTAACCGTCTCCGGATGAGAAGAGGCCTTTGCTCAGCAGTGGGCACTTATAGGCTGATGATGATGATGATGATACCCATCTCAAAATACATATCGTTTTACACCCAAAGAGATAATAACTACTCTTCTAAAATAACAATAATATAACGTTATACGTCTCACGTAAATTTTTTATATCCCTCTCGTCGAGTCGGAAAATTCGTTCCACGCATAATATTACAACCTGGTATATATAAAACCGACGCTTTCTCCGTCCCTGTATCCCTATGTACGCTTAAATATTTAAAATGATGCAACGCAATTTTCTGGTGTTTTTAAATATAAGAGATTGAAGGTTAAAATATTATGTGTATGACAACATCCATTAATTTAGAGATTCTGTATCAGCATTGCACCCATGCGAAGCAGGGGCGAGTCACTAGTATAAACATAAAATAGACGCAGACATTATCCTTATACTTAAATTAATTACATTGTCACTACGTTAAATTTTTTTTATTCAAGTTATTAGGTACATGATTCTAAAGTGTTTTAAATATGCTGGTATCTTCTTTTGAACGCAGTAACTGCATGTTTTTTATGTTTCACTGCCTGTATCAGAAGGCGCTGTTCCTAGAATCTTACTAGTTTTATAATTATAAAAATATTACTTAACAAATCTTCAATAACTTTTTTCAAAAGAAGAATTATACCTACTTCATTATAGCGTAACTTGTTATCCAATTTATCAGTTACGATTTCCAGACCTTCATTGTACTATAATGTTTCTTTATTTTTGTTTATTTATTTCATTACGTAAGTTAGACAAACGTTTGCAGAACTGAATATTTTCGAATTCTATTTTTACTGAAGATGTGTGTGTGTGTAATGTAAATCATTTCGACTTGTCATTTAATTTTCAAGTTAACACAACAAATTTATGATTGCAGACGGTTCATTGAACTGTAATGCTTTAATGAATATAGGGAATATTATTTTGGATATAATTACATTCTGAAAGTGGTGGATCCGACGTTAAACGTCCCATCCCTCAAGACGAGAACAACATTGCGTGGGCTGGTAGTGACGCATATCATAACAAGCTTCAATTTCATGTAAGCTAGGTAGGTTTCAAAATCAGTTAGCTTCATTGAAATACATTTCTCAGTATTTAGAAAGACTAAGGATAGATAATTATGCTTCTAAGACTTAAGTTTTAATTTTAAATATAAAAAGGTTATACGATTAAAATACTTCCTCTTCCTCTTTTTATCTCTGTCCCGTTCTCACTGACAAACGTAAAGTACACTACAAGTTTCATCTAGTGGGTTTTGGTTTTATAAAGCGATGTTAAGAATAGGCATTTTCTTTCAAAGATAAGGAACTCTTCTACTATCTTAAACCCTGCTCAAGGTGGACTTCTAATTTTGAACTTAAAATTAAAAAGCCTGACTAGTTAGGTCTATCACTTAACCCATTTGCAAGACATGGGTTGGGCAAATTTGAAGTACCAATTATTATCGATTTCGTACTCGTTTTTTCTTAGAATGAAATTCTAGTTCAGTGTAGGATAACATTTGTGGTTGTAGATGCAAGCAAGATGATGTACTGCGATCCGATTAACAGGAGATGGAAAGATGTGGTTGCAAGTCAATATGAGTCTTTCAATATCGCCCAACCCACCTAGAGTGGGAGAAGTCACTGGATAGATTTTAAAACATAAACTATGGATTAGGAAATTAGGAGATTTGGGGATAAGAATGTTACAAAAGAAGGATTGGGTTCATACCGCGAAACACATTGCAAATGTTATTTCGTTGGTATCAATCTAGACAAGCGGGCTCTTTCGTGCCGAAGATCTTCCACATATGACGCTTCAAATCCTAAATAATCAGTATTACTACGACAGAGATTAAATTAAACGCCATCTTTACTAAGCAATATCTTGTTGAAGTATTTTATTTAATGTCTTTATGAGTTGAGACTGGTAGTTAGTGGTTCATAGCTTTTAACCAGGCGTCTAGACGGTAATTCGTTTACAAATGCGAGGAAAGCGGAGAATAATTAAATTTGGGATGAATTGCTTTAATATTGAGCGATGTGACAGGATTACACCCGCAATCTTGGAGGAGTTACAAGTGCAGTGCTGACTTTTGGTGATAAGGAATTCGGAGATTTTCGAATTGGGGAGGGGAAGGTTTGGGTCTTCCGTAACGTCACTCACACGGCGAAACACAAAGGTATGGTTTCTGTGAGGCCGTGGTATCCCTCCGGTCGAGCTGACCCATTCTTGCCGAAGCATGGCTCTCCCACACTATTATATACGCTATTAACTGATGGTTTGCTGTTGTATGGGGGTCAATTTGTGGTGGATTATTAGATTTGTATATGTGGGGGGTTTTGTCGATTGATAATGTAAAATGATTATCATCAATTGGCTTCTTGCGCCTTAATAGGGGAGAATGAGATTAATAGACGATCACTGACTAAAAGCTTCACTGTTTCTTCTCCCACAACACCGGTCAAACATCGGCTCTAGTAGAGACCACCACTCCACACAAATGGGGGGGGGTCTATGATAGTCTATTGGCTCTTTGAGGCACGTACAAAACGTAATACGCTTTGTACGGCCAGGTTTGGATCTGATCGGAAGGCGCACTATTTTTGCTTGCCGCTCCAGCTTACGGCAGCTGAAGATTGTGCCCCATGCGTCTCTTGCAAAGGCTGTATATGATTGTTCCTCGTGCGCTCCAGCTTCACTCACATCTGATTACAGACTGTTGTATAGATGGCCTTCGGTCGTCGATGCAAGAAAAACTGCTAAACAAGTCTCAAGCAAAGAATGTGCAATTTTTTTTACTTCCCCAAAAATTACACAGTGGTATAACTAAACTTGTGTTCGAGGCCTACGTCAATAATTTTGATAAATATTAAACAGAGAGTAACCAAAAGCTTGCTAATAAATAGCCCAAGTACCTATTTTTTTGTATAATTGAATGAGCACACGGAGGGTCTCAATACTAATTTGAATTTAATTATCTTTAGCATCAACGGTGATTATAGAGATCAAATAAAATAGTCTCGTTATCGTGATAGTCCTTATAAATATACAAATTCGTGTCTAGACATCATTGCCTAAATATTTTTTTAATCAGGACATGTTTTGACGCGTAGCTCTTTGCTTTACTCTTGACTCTTACTATGATTTTCTGTTTTGAATGTCAGCCGGGAAAAACAAAACACGTGCGAGATTTAAGTTACGTAAATGAGCCAAATTGGCTAATACTATTGCTGCTTTTAAAAATTTGCCCCTCTATACGATTTTCTCCTGTGTCGTGGATGTGGTTACAAAAATACAAATTTACATACACATCACACCCAGACTCGTAACAAAAATTTGTGGATCACACAAAGAGTTATTCTGTGCAGGAGTCGAACTCGCAATACGATTCATAGCAGCCAGTTGCCCAGCCACCGCAACAACCGTGCAGTCAAAAATACTAAGTCCGGCAACGCACTCGTAACTACTCCGTTGCGAGTGTCCATGGGCGGCGCTGATTGCTTACCATCAGGTAATCCGTCTGCTCGTTTGCCGAACTATTCCATAAAAAAACTTCATATAAAATACACAATATTATTTCTAACCTGCACATAATAAAATAATATTGTAACAGCTTACTTTAAACTGCAATTTTATCACTCTACTTACCAGAATATGAACTGTGTGGGTACAGACGAAGCCAGCGATCAAAGTTCCAATCGTTCCAGCTATGAGACCTGAATTCTTGAAGGCGGCAGGCATCGCCAATATTCCGGATCCGAGGCAACATTTCAATAAATGCACTATCGACCCGATTGTACTGAAATAGAAAGAGGAATATTCAAATTTTAAATGCGTTCGTTCTTGAACAACTTACCAACAAAACAACTTACTAACAAAAAATTTTCCGAAGTATTATAATCGTTATTTTTAAATATTAAATTATTGTAAACAGTTTTTTTTTGACTGATTTGTTTTTATTTATTACAAATTTTATCTATTTAATAATGAAAATATCGGATTCATATTCATGAAAGGTAGTTTAAAATGAAACGCAGATTTTTTTACACGTTTGGGCCTCACAGTGATAAAATAGACATTAAAACGTTATACATATGTAGATGCCTATCTCTTGTTTATAAGTCTATGAAGAAATAAGCTCTTTGGAAAATTGAAAACCAATATAATTTGTTCATTACACAAAACAAATCATTTTCTTTTTTTTACAGTTATAAGTTATTGACAACAAAATAATAAAAAATTGGAAGCGTAGGTGTGAATTCATTCATTCAATTAATTCTTGAGATTTGATTTCTTTGTTACAGTAAGATTTGTTGCGGATTATTGTCTAAATAGAATTCAAGGAATTGCCAGAGTACTGTTCTTATTCCAATGAGAAGAAATTAAGGAAGTGAAGTGAATTGTCATCAACATTATTTTCGTCTGTGAGACAAAAATAATGTTGATCGTCTGTGAGACGAAAAAGACGAAAATAATGTTGATGACAATTTATACCTGAGTAACAATAATTATAAGATGGTGATATTTGGTGGCAGATTTTTCCTGTATAACAAGGAACAAAAGGGGCAAACAACTAAAAAGAGTACCTAAAATAAATGATTATTAGATAGATAGATATATTTGGAGTATAATATTATAGTTATTCCTTGTGTTATTATGACCTTCGAGAAATTCGAGTTTAGAATATATCTTATTTATATATATTAATTTAAATTCTTATTCATATACTACGTATGTTTTAGTAGTTATAAACGCTGAACCTTTTGTACCACTTTTAAAAAAAACTACCAAAAACGAACCTAACCTTACCATAAAAAATAATATGATGCAACTCCGCTTAAAAAAATGGGAGAGCCTTCGGTACAAATGAAACAAAAAATGAAGGATTAACCGTAACAACATCTGAATATTTTTCCCGCCTATATGAAAATTTCTAACAGACGAAAAATTATAACGAAAACGTGTCTGAAATAATAATAAGCATATGCACGTGATTTTTTTATTTCTATTCACGTGTTTTGCTAATTGCAGTCATTATGGGATCCATATGCTTTTACTATGACCATGGTTCAATTACGCCGTTATTTTTAAAACTGTTTATTTTTTAAAAATTCAACTTGCCATCTGATTTTAAAAATAGCCAAGATTGTTTGCTCGTTTCGTCAACTCTTTAAGCTTTTTCTTTCAGTTTCTTCAACTGAACTTCTTAAATTTTGGCATGTTTATGTATAATGTACTTGTTAGAAAATTAAAAACAAGTATATATAAAACTGGGACTAGGATAAATGGTAAACATAGCCTTCTCTTTTTATTTTTGACTAGCTGACAAACTAGCAGACCTTGCACTTGACTTCCATTGCCATTGAATCATCAACATGTTTCAATTTTCGCTGTTAAAATTATTCTATTTTTTTTATTTAATAAGTCGGCAAACGAGCAGACAGATTACCTGATGGTAAGCAATCAGCGCCGCCCATGGACACTCGCAACGGAGGAGTTACGAGTGCGTTGCCGACCTTTTAGGGATTAATTGGCGATATTAACCTTACAAAAATTAGACTCATCTTTTGGAGTTTTAACATAATTTGTAAGACAATGGAAATAAAAGGGTCACATAATTATGTAAAAACCACAATGAATAGATATTCTATGTACATTATAACAACGGTTCACTGCACGGCTATGGCTGTCGCAGTGGCCTATAGCTCAATAGGCTGCCGAGCAACGTGGTCTGTTCCCGCTCAGAACAATTATTTGTGTGATCGCCAAATTATTATTCTGAGTCTGGATTTTGTATGCGAAAGTGTGTTACGCACCCACGGCGGCAAAAAATCGGTAAAAGGAAAATCCAGAGAGAATAGATGCGAGCATTTGTAGAGTTTTGTTTTGTTTTTGGGCTTATAGTGTTATGGATTTAGGCTTACTGGGTTGCGGGGCATGCCTGCTGTTTTTCAGTATGTCTTACTTTCGATATTGAACATAACTAATAAATCTCCAAATCCCAAAAATCCCAAAAATCTCTAAAAAGAGGTCGGCAACGCACTCTCAACTCCTCCGTCGTTGTGGGTGTCAATAGGCGGCGCTGATTTCTTTACCATCAGGTAATCCGTGTACTCGTTTGCCGAACATATAAAAAATGGCACCCACGGTTTCTGTAAAGCTAGACTATAATAAAATATGTTATTGGACTTCACATATTTCATATACGGCAAACTAAATTGTTCAAAGGATGTATTTATGTACATTTCATTACTATTGTTTCAAAATAAATTTAATTCTACCTGTCTACAAAGTTTCACGACCGTTTAAGTCGGTTCATTCATTCCGAAAGATAGTCCTTACAGGAGAAATGAGAAAACTTTGGGAGTTTCTTTTGAGTGTAAACTGCCTTCTGTTTTCTAAGTGAGTAAGCTTGTGTTTAAACAGAATAACATGATATAAGATCTTAATAGCCGGGCTGCTAGGTGGACTGACGACATCCGCAGGGTGGCTGGCAGTGGTTGGATGAGAAGAGCTGAACATTGAGCTCAGTGGCGTGCAATTGGGGAGGCCTATGTCCAACAGTGGACGACGTTAGGCTGATGATGATGATGAAAATCTTAAATCCCAGAATAAACGCATTAAATGCTGTGTAGGATCTAGTTACAAATCAGTTGTATCAAAAGTCCTGAGTAGTGGAGGTTAAGCAGAGTGCACTTAATATTTACTATTTTAATTAAAATAACTTTTTTGTGCAATCGAGCCGACGTAACACATTTTGTAGATAATTGGCACTGCGCATAATTATGTACATACAGAAAGAGTTACAAATGCGTTACCGGCTTTTTGTGGTTAGAGATTTGAGGATTCGGATCTAGGGGATAGGAGATAGAAGGAAGAAAAATAAGACCATGGTATCATGACGTAGTGGCATGGATCTCCCACACTTACTCAAAAAATGTAGTCGTAATTAATTAATTTTCCCCCAGTTTTCATACCGTCTACACACTTGCTTTAATGTTTTTTTTTTAAATACCAGAACTTAGTATTGGATACTACGTACAAAAGTACACGAAATACACAGTTATTTGCGTATCGGCTTATTTTTTCGTAACAATATATTTTTTCGGATATTTCACGAACAGATAATTGCATGCTAATTTAGGAAGCTGTAAACATCTTTTATTTATTGATTGGACGGTCAATAGCTGTACGTCAAGGTTTTCTGGGAATTGTTATATACATTAATGTAAATATTTTTTTTGGTATTTAAATTTTTAGTCCTTTGTAAAACATCTTTAATATTGCAGAGTTTCGTCGTTTGGACTATGCCCTTTATATTTATAATAAAGGTTTTAAAGTGTTAAACATCTGGTTATAATAATTATAATGATCGATCCAACAATAACTGCAACTGAAACTGAACTGCTACTGAAAATATTTATCAAAAATCTGTTTTATTTTATTCATTTCGCAATTTTGTCTTTGACTTTTTTATAAAAAAAAAAACGTTGCCCCACATTAGTATTATCTCCTGTATCATTGGTGCGTTTACAAACATACAATTTCACATGCACATGACACCCAGACCCGGAACGACTATTTATGGATCACATAAACACGTTGCGCAGCCAAGTCAACCGCGTACCTGTTTTGTGTTTTTATGTTTTTCATGGGAAATTCAATGTCATGAGCAGACTTATGATCTAATGATAAGCAATTTTCCCCGCCCGTAGATATCAGTAACATCGAGGAGTTGTAAGTGCATCGCTGGCTTTTCAAGGTTCGGAATTTGAGAGGTTTTGAGATACTTGGGGATTGGGAATGGGAAGGGTATGGAGAACATTGGGCCTCTGGTTATGTTACTTATGCAGGAAAACACAACGATAACATTGTTTTTATATACATCTAATCGAGTCAAGCCGAAGCATGAAGATGAACCCACGCTTACATATTTAGTAATTTTCATTATTTTAAAACACTTCACTAATTTCAAAAGTGGTATAATAATAAGACCTTGTTTCTACCTAAAATATGACACGAAGTAAATTTAACGCCATTTTCCAAGAAAACTGGAATTACTCGGCGAAAGTGGCTTGATATACAGGGGGCCCAAGAGTTTAATATTTATTTTCTCATCCTTCCGTATTTTCGGTTAAAATAAAATTTATTTTGTCGTTTGAGTAATTTCTACCATTAGCGATAGCGTTGGCAAAGATTTTTCTCAGCTAATGTTTATATTAATCTCCATTATTTAGCATATTTATTTCTTTACCTACTTCCGCAGTTTTTTTAAATGATTAAAAATATTTCAGATGTTTTTCTTTTGTTTTTTAAGTCCTAATATAAATACTGAGGCCGTAAGCTAGCTAATCTCGCGCGGTTTTACCCACTGCTTGGCTCCAATTGATCTTAGCGTGATATTTTATAGCCTATAGCAATCAGGCACATTGTAGCTACCTATCAGTGAAAGAAACAAATTTTATATCTTTATAATATTAGTATAGATGTAGATAAAATTTTACTCATAAACACCTTACATTATTCTAGTCTGGTCTGATAGTAATTGGAGAAAAATTTTGCCTGCACAGAAATTCACAACATATCCAAGCAACTAGCATTCGTAGATATTATGTGAGTGATACAATGACACATAATAATTTTGGTACTGAAAAGTAGCCCTTAATGCTACTGATTTCACTTCAGGTAAAACTATATTATTGTGTGCACGTTCCGTAATAATATCTGAGTAAAGTTTAGTCCAAAGTTTTTCCTAAGTTTCGAAGGAATTTTATTCATTTATTTACAATAACTTATTGGATAGAAAGTTTGTAAACTGGAAAAAGAAATTAGTTCTGGCATTTACTGATATTCGACTTTTGAGTAATCGAACCTATTTTAAAGATCTTTTATTTTATAATTCAAGGTTAAATAATATTAATATTAAACAGAAATACTTACGAATTGGGATGTTCCACCGTCCGATGCTCGAATGGATTATACGGTTTTTCATCAACATTTTTCGATGCTATGCTAAGCGAGGATTGGAAGCCGGGATTACTGGTCAAGTCCGCTCTGAAAAAAAAGAGAAATCGTTAACTAAAAACTTCTTAACACAAACCAGTATTTAATTATAATCATTTTTAAGAATATCCATTTATCTAATGTCAAAAATATGTTATAAATTTTTGGCAAAAGAGAATAGTCTGTTATGCTATTGTCTGTCTCTTATAGTATATTATTAATATTTGCTATTATAGTTTACATTAAAAGGAAATATTTTTTTCTTTTATTTACTACTTACTCGCGTGAATAAACTAAGAAAAGCCTACTTCAAGCCAGATTGCTGTCATGGCTTTATAGAAAATCTGCGTGTTTATCGCCGTTTGAGTGAGACAACACGTCTGCCAGACTATCACTTAAAAAATTACTAACCAGTTTCAAGTCATAGTTACGTCGATGTCAATAGGTCGCGTACGCTACTCATAACTTAAGAGTACCGTTATGACTTGAACTAACATAGCTTTTTCAGTTAATTTAGTATGCATAACGCGTATCATATGCGAGTATAATGTAACTATTTTGGTACGAAAATAGTACATCTCTGGAGATATGTATTACTGATACTAGCCTAGTATACCTACAATTAGATGATAATAAAATGAATACACTAAGCTGTACAGTTACAAATAAGCCAGAAATAAAATAAATATGTCTTTCATCAATGACCTTGATGCTTCAATGTGAAACCCAATGGCACGGAACGGGTTTTTGTCATCACAAATCAATGAAAACCTCAGCCGGCTTAATTCCCATTGTTGATATGCGTCATTGGTTTGTTTGCTAATAAATTGAAGGTTCTGCGCAAACAGACCGAATGGGATGCGGAACCATAACATTGTATCAAATTATGGAGCTATGGATATTACCGTGGTTTACCGATTGGTAAACAGAAAAGGGACTTTATTTGCATAAATGTAAAATGACAAATCCTCTGCTCAAATCGATAGGAAGATATAGTTTGCTCAATAGTTCATAACGCCCAAATATATGAAATACAGAGTTTATTTTCTATATTATTTTTATTAAAAAATATTATACCTATTTTTGCCACTGTTTTGAATTGCGGTCTGTTTTCGTGGAATAGCTTTCGTAACATACATGAAATTAATTGTAATGTTTAACAGCTTATTCTGGTAACTATTTAAACAATTAGCTGCGCCACGTTCACTGCGTCGTGTATCAAGTAATGCTGCTCATAAATATGAGCTCTAGCGTAGCTTGAAAACAGTCGAGTTCTTCATCGAACAGTTTCGTAAATAGCCGTCAAACACAATTTTTCATTTACGTCTAAATGTATTTTTATGGACATCTTGACTTTTTTGTTTTCTAAGTGCGCTCTACTAAAAGTTTAATGGCAAAAAGAGTACCTACTTATAAGAAACCTAAATATTTCAAGAACAAAGATGATCTAATGACGTCACAGATTTTTTCACATAGTTTTCCAAGTCATTGTTTTCGGTACCGTGAGAACGCTTTAAGCAAAAAACTGTCTGTAGTCTATAGAATTTTAATTAATGGCCATCTTCATTGGATTTTTTGTCTTTATAAAAGTCTACGTAATTTTAAAACCTTAATTTGACCTAAATGTTTCTTTTTAATATTTGAGTGTACGAATTAAAAATAGATTATCTCTCTGTAGATGTTTTATTGTTGACCTTTGACCAAAGTTTACCTTTTTCATGATTTAAGGAATCGTGTCCTTTCGAAGGTTTACTTTCATTGTTTATTTTGGGTTTCCTGTAAAATATTTTATGGTTAATATTATCGTTTATAATGGAATGTAAACAGTTGGTGGCAATATTTTTTGAAGAGAAATAGCCGTGTTTTGAACTACAAACTTAACGTAAAACGTAGTAAAAGGTAAAAATAATTCACTATTTTTGATTTTGTATAATAAAAAAAATCACTATCTGTTGTTCTGTGTTTGTTACTGTAAGGAAGTTTCTTATGTATAAAATTTTGGAAAAATGATGAGATTAGAGAAGGCCTTGCATATAAGCGTTCCGTTTCAAATTCATCGTTAGCAAGGTGGTTTAAACCGATGCTAGTTTATATAAAAAAATCTATATTATACTTACGTTGACTTAAAATTGTCTATCTCCATCGACTCTTTGCTCTTCGACATTTTTGAGATCTGTGAACAAGAAAACGTATTTTATACATAACAATAATATCTACACTTCAAAAACCATTATTTAATATGTAATATAAGAAAATCAAATAAGACAACTCTAGCTCAATAACAATGAACCAGTTTTCGATCAAAATTTCGGCAAAATAAACATATTTTTTGCAAAATATGACCTGATGGTAAGCAATTAGCGCCACCCATTGTTACCCATGCACACTCGCAATATTAGAGTAGCTAAGTAAGCGTTGCCAGTCATTTGCGTTCAAGGATTTAGGGACTGCGGATATGGAGATTTGAGACAGTAACCACACTCACACGGCGAAACACAAACTCCATTCTATTCTGTATACAATTTACTAGTTGAAAGTGTTACATGGCTGCAAATCAAGCTATGCTAAACTTGTTTAAAATGGTCTTGCTGTTTGTGGTCTTTTCGTACATTCAAAGTTCAGTTTATGATAATTGTATTGCTGTAGTAGCCGTGTGTACCTCATTCAGGAATTTTACATACCATTTTAGTGAAACAACGGTAATTTAATTTAAAGTTAAATATCCCAGAAAATCTAATCACAGCTAGGTATAGTTACTTAAAATATGAATTTATTTTGTTTTGTGTGTTAGCTGTAAGTTTAATTTTATTCCATTCATCTGGTAAATTGTATTGTATCCGTGAACACTAATATTGTATTGGAGAATACTGTAACGATAGTGTATATATTTAATAACTCACTAAGTCTCATGTCATTAACACCTCCCAGCACTGCTCTGGCGATAAATTAAAAACGTGATCCGATGTTGACTATTTGTGTTAGAACTCATTCGTTTCAAACTGTACCACGTAACACGACGCATTTTTAAAAATCTCCAGTCTAAAGATTATTTTATATCTTCGCCTAAGATTACACATAGTTTCAAGTATTGATGCAGATCAACCGACTATCGTGAAACTCTCAAGAAAAAGATAACGACCATAATTCTTATCTTGGCATATTGTGAAAAATCTTTCACTGAATTACATTGGTGTTTGACATGGTACAAGGAAAACAATGAAGTAGTGTAAACAAAGAAAAATATCACATTTATCGTTATGTAACAAAATCTTTGAAATTAATTGTATGCGTGAAAAGCCGCGTTGGACCTGAGGTTAAGGAACCCGCTTCTCACGTATGAGGGTGTAATCTCGAAACCTATATCGAGTAATACGTATTTTACAAATTTATTTACACTCATCAGACAAATGGTGAAGGACAATTTCGCGAGGAAATCTGGACTTAAAATTTCAAATTACCTAATAAATTTGTAATCGACAATCCGTCTTCGCCTACCATGGGTGATTGATACTCTCCCTTTGACAAGAGGCCTTTGCTGAGCAGTGAGCACTAATAGGCTGATAATATATGTATGCACGCGTGAAAGGATGACCTACCGTAATGACGATGTTTTTACAAGCCCCAAATGAAAACTAATATTATAAATACGAAAATAACTCTGTTTGTATGTCTGTCTTTTCTTCATGCCTAAACTACTGAACCGATTTCTGTGAAATTTGGTACAGACACAGTTTGGAACTCGAAAAAGAACATAGGATAGAGAGGAGGAGTTTATACCAAAAATCTGTAAGAAGTCACTATTTCACGCGAACGGAGTCGCGGGAAAAAGCTAGTATTAAAATAAAGAGAACAATGGCTATAATAATATAGACAAACACAATGCTAAATCATCACAATGTAATCGTGACAATTGAAGGATCATAGCAGGTTTTCATTTGAATTTGTGGGATTAAATCCAGAATTTACATATTAATATTTATGCCAAAATATTGTTTCCTAATTTTAAATCAATTCTGAATCATTACGGTTCAATAATAACAAGTGTGGGAGAGCCATGCTTCGGCACGAATGGGTCGGCTCGACCGAAGTGATACCACGGCCTCACAGAAAACCGGCGTGAAACAACCACAGTGTTGTGTTTCGCCGTGTGAGTGAGGTTACCGGAGGCCCAATCCTTCCCCTTCCCAATCCCTCCCCAGTTCCTAAATCTCCAAATCCCTAATCCCTAAAAGGTCGGCAACGCACTCGTAACTCCTCCGTTACGGGTGTCCATGGGCGGCGCTGATTGCTTACCATCAGGTAATACGTCTGCTCGTTTGCCGACCTATTAAATAAAAAAAACATACATAACCTAGTCCAAAATATCTGTGAACACCAAAGCAAAATAATAACTTAAAAAAACTATCAAAAATATTCTCAATTTCTTTAATAAAAACTAGACTTTTACACTAAAATATCAAAACCAGTAAGTTTCTGTTGAAAAGGGTTTCGTAAAGTTATTGATGTGAAATCGAGAAAGACCAATTGGAAGGCCACTATAATTGGGTCACAGGGATCGGAAACCGGATTGTAAGCGAAGTCAAATTACAGTAAAGGTAAGTTTTGGTCATGTCATGTATGGTATAATTTTTAACACCATGTTTTTTATACCACATACGAAATTCTGTAAGAATCTGAAAGAAAGAAAAAGTATTTATCTGCGTCTAGGACGCACATAAGGCACAAAACAAAAAAGTGTTTAAACAGAAGAACAAAAAAACATGGTAATACAATATTACTCTAATATAAGGAAAAATATGCGTCACAAGCACGCGAAATGGCCCTCGCTCAGCATATGCAGCGACACTATGCAAACAATGTCGCAGCGCTGATTTTCAGCGATGGCCAACAACTAACATCTGATGCCAACCGGTGCAGAAACTACAATTAATAAGAAAAAAAAAATAAGATAATAAAAAGTAAATCTAATTTATTTACACTTCTAATTGTAGAATCTCCATGAAACATAGCAATTAGTTATTTGTAGATTAGAGGACCAAACAATATTATGAGATTGAGATGTTTCGATAATAGGATTGGATGATACGTAATGGTACCTTGGGTTTCTACGAGCTGTAAGCGAAGGCTTCTTTCTGGTAACCATATTGCGGTTTGAGCTCATAAGATTACTTCCACTCTCTGTGATAAGGAACTATTATGTTTAAAATGGTGTGTTCTTCCTCTAAGAACGTCTTCATCAGTTGTGTTTAGATGTGAATGTAATACAAATTAATCTGGCTTACTCTACTAAAAACTCTGGAGTGTGTTAGGAGGCGATTAAGAATCTACATGTTCAACTGCAGTACATCAGTGTTAAATAAAGCTGACTCTATTAAAATATGATCCACCATCCGCTTGTCAAGCGTGTTGATTATTTAAATTTCACCCTTTTGTATCGAGGTAGCTGGTGATGATGAATACTAGTTTTGGAGCTCTTTAACTTAATGAAGATTTGATGAGACACATAAAAATATTTCGTTAAAACTATGTTTGTCATTTGTCGAGTTTATAATTGCGAATCCAATACAACAACGCATACAGGGCGCTGTTTAGGCTGCCTCGTCATTGCAGCGCTTCGGGGATGTTTGCGGAAACACGTATTGATGACTTCTATGCTATCATGCGAAAGCGTGTCGCATCCCTGATGGGGCGGGTACGGGGCAGCGCCAACAGTTTCTTAAAACCCGTGGCGGATATTATGTGACATGTTTATTGACTTTATTAATTAACTTAATTAAGATGTATTTGTACTAACACTAGTGTATAAGTTGCGTATGTCTTTACTAACAATAATTGGATGGATTGTATTATCTGACAAATAAATTATATTATTATTAAAATTGTATTTGTACTCACCTAATACGAAAGTACCTAGCACAAAAAATCTATCTTATAAACGATCACTACAAAAAGTCCAAATTGAAAATCTAACAATAAGATGTCTTTAATTGAATTTTGGAGTTTGCGCTCAACTGTCAACAGCCGCCTCTACTATTGGTAGATCGAATCTATTCTTGAGAGCCTTAGTAATCAAGCCCTGTAGCACTTATTTCTACAATATGATCTCAAATATACATCAAGTATTTGTATCATTAATTTATTGTATAACAAGTGTGTGAGTCAAGTCTCGTTCACTTATGAGTTATTACATTTTCAAAGCTTTTAATAATAGCAAATAAATTATATGAACTGAGTGGTTGCATTAATGTATGGCAAAGTCCTTGCTTTCGAGGTTCGTTGTCTGTATAACTGTACAGAACTGAATGCTCCATCTTCATCATCTTCGATCCGAATGAGCCGGATGTTTTGAAGTGATACATTATTCTCTCTACACATCCCCTCATCCCGTCATTCTCAATCCCGAATTTCCTTATAAATAAGCATCTTTCAATGTGCATAGATGTCACTGAGTTCATCAAAAGGTCCGCTTAATTATTTCTAATCATTATCATCATCATCATCATCAGCCTATAAGTGCCCACTGCTGAGCAAAGACAACTTCTCACATGGAGAAGGTTATGAAAAGCGGGGCCCTCAACCTTCGAGCTACTTCAACTTATTATAATTATAGTTATGTATTTGTAAAACTGTGCAATAATAAAGCCTCTCATTACCAAAATACTTGTGTAATAAGTTAATAAAATCATGAAAATATACAGTTAATAGTAAATTACTTACAACAACCATCTATCAAGTATCTAATGGACAACATTTTTACACATTAAGAACTATTTGGTTAGTAAATATATTTATGTCATTTACAAGCCACGATTCATACATTATCTGTGGCAGAAGTTTTTAGAATTAGCATGTTATTTTGGCGAAATTTGTACGGTGTGAGCAAATAACCGTTACGATAGTGAACCATAAAAATAAATTAGGATGCACTAAGCCTCGCCTATGTAAAATATCTCTCAATTTTCATCTTTGGTTTGGGTTAATTATTTATTTATATCTGACTATATTTTAACTACTTTTATAATAATTTTAATGTTTCTTCCACTTTTATAAGAATTTTTTGGAGTTGGCATTCATACATACCTACTGAGAATTAGCATCAAGCTAATGACAAAAGAATTGACATATGTTATGTTATAAAAATATACGATCGTCGTTTCATTTTAGACGGAAATTTTTACTCAGAGATCTTTAAGTTTAATGGAGTCTAGTCCCTACTCCAATCTCTGAACCCTCAATGACCTTAATCCAAAAAGACCGGTAACGTACTTGTGATTCCTTAATATTGCCGGTGTCCATGCCAAAGTTTCCACATATAAACCTCCGAATAACACAAAATAATATCGTACTACTAATAACACAAAATAATATCGTAATAATATCTTTTTAATTGTGTTTTCAGGATACATTTTTTTTCTATGGAATAGGTGGCAAACGAGCAGAAGGATCACCTGATGGTAAGCGATCGGCGCCGCCCATGGACATCCGCAACACCAGAGGAGTCACAGGTGCGTTGCCGGCCTTTTAAGAAGGAATACGCTCGTTTCTTGAAGGTTTGAAGGTCGTATCGGTTCGGGAATACCGCTGCCGGAAGATCATTCCAAAATTTTGCTGTGCGGGGCAGAAAGACATACATTTTATATTTGTGCAATTTATAGTTCATTAAATTTCCTTACGCCTATTATGT